GACGGCTAGGATGTGGGGGGGCCACGTCACCTGCTCCTGCTTGCTGTGCTTGTAGCTGCAGCCTGCCCGAGTCACGTGTTTTTATGGCATCGTGATGCACCACCTCACTATTTAGCATGAACAGCAAAGAGCAGCAACATAAAAAGCTGCGGTGAAATGAAGACTCTAAAACTCGCCGTGGGAGCAGCTGGGCAGCCCCACCTCTGCCCGCACACCCCGTCCACTTCCCCTCTCTCTCTGGGCCCTGCAGGGGGCGTGCCCGCTCCCTGAGCACAGTCCAGGGTCCCCCCCCCCCCCAGGCCGAACTGATGGAATCCCTACCCGCCCTTTTTAAACTGGAAGAGCAGATTGACAAAGAAAGGTCTTCCATCTACTGTTTCACTCTCCAAATGGCCACCACAGTCAGAGCTGAGCCAATCCGAAAGTCAGGAGCCAGGAGCTTCTTCCGGGTCTCCCACACCGGTGCAGGGTCCCCAAGGCTTTGGGCCGTCCTCCACTGCTTTGCCAGGCCACAGGCAGGGAGCTGGAGGGGAAGTGGAGCAGCCGGGAGATGAACCAGTGCCTCCATGTTGCCGGTGCTTAAAGGGGGAGGATTAGCCAGCTGCGCCATCTCACTGAGCCTGGAATCCATGTTAGGACAAGTCGCTCTGAGAACCGAGGACGGGCACATTCCAGGATGTTTGGCTCTTGGTACACATGGTCTTAATGCAGAGCCACCCACTCTGTTAAAATCACCCCATGTTGGCCGGCGCTGTGGTGTAGCACATAAAGCTCCGATTGTAACGCTGGCATCCCCTGTGGGTGCCAGTTCGAGTCCCGGCTGCTCCATTTCCCATCCAGCTCCCTGTTGATGCGCTTGGGGCAGCCACGGAAGGCGGCCAAGGTGCTTGGGGGAGACCCGGATGGAGCACCTCGCTCTGCTCTGGTCATTGCATCCACTTGGGGAGTGAGCCAACACATGAAGGGCCTCTATCCCCATCTCCCCCTTTTTCTGCCTGTCAGATAAATGAATAGATAGTTTAAATCACCTCATTGTACCAGGCAGGAAGCAGGCAGTCAGGCCAGCGGAGTTCTTTGCCGAAGGCCACACGGCTGGCAGGGGAGGGCACGGTACCCGGACTTAGCCGCTCCTGGCACGACACTCAGCCCTCGTGGGCAGCCCACCTGCTACCCACACTGTGCCCCCTGCCCCTCCCTCCATTGCTGCCCTAGGCCCGGGGGCTGCCGTGGGGTTATAAATACACCTCAGCTGGTGTCTGGGTGCACAGCCGGATGGATAGGTCAACGGGGGGCTGGCACACCTGGTCATCTAGCCTGGGGAGGGTGCCAGGGTGTCCCCAGGAGCCCCTTGGCCACTGGGCAGTGGATGACCCAGCAGGCTCGGGGGCACTGTGCAGTCTGCCCCTGCTCTGGCACAGACCAGAGAGGTCACACAGTGAGGCCGGAGCAGGGCAGGGCTTGCAGCAGGCCAGGGCGTGCCAGCCCGTCTTCCTTCTCCAGTGGCTGGCTCACTCCCTTCTTTAGGCCACCAAGGCCTGCTTCTCACTGGGTCCCGCCTCCTCTGGGGTGTGGCCCCTGTTGCATTCTTTACTTGCTTTTTTTTTTTTTTTTTTTTTGCTGGAGTTTTAAGGATTCCTGCTGTGTGATCCTGGGCCAGTGGCTGGCCTCTCTGGCTCTGTCTGCCAGCCAGGAGCAGGTCTTGCTACAATGTTGCTGTGAGAGCAGACCTGATGGGCATGCGCAGGCCTGAACTGGCATGGCTGCCGCCTGCCTTGCTGCTCTCCTACCCCCCACCCCCTGTTGCATGGTGGACCACCCCCACTGCCCAGGCCGTCTCGTTCTTCCTGCCACCCTCCTCGGGGTCAGACCCCCTGCCCACATCTCCACTCGGGGCGCTGGCCCGCGGCGGCCTCAGCAGATGGCCACCATCTGGGCCGCCGGTGCGGGCAGGCAGGCGGGCTGGCAGCTGCCGGGGCGGGCTTGGCAGCCCCTCCCCCCAGCCCTGGCATGGTGCCCGCCCGCGCCTCGGGTTTCTCAGGCTGCCGCGAGGGGGTGGGGCGGCCCGGTTGGGCTGTGGCCCAGGGCAGGCAGCCTGACTCTTGGGGCCTGGGGTCCCACTCCCCCCCTCACGGGGGAGTCCTCGTGCCCCCAGCCTTGCTCCCTGCACAGTGGCCTCCGGGCCTTTGCACTGCCTCACCCCAGGGCTCCTCGCCAACGCACAAGTTCCCTCATTAACTGAACCCCATGGCTGGCTTTGCCCTCTCCCCCACATCCTCCAGGCCCCTGTGGCCACAGGACACTACCTTGATGCCGCCTGGGGCAGCCACATTCTGCCCTGATAGCTCCACCAGGTCATACCAACTGATCTGGGGATCACACTGGGGGACTTGGGGGCCAAGGTTCCCCAGTAGGGCACAGCGCCCTGTACAGCTGCAGCCCCAGGAGTCGGGGGGCTGGGGAAGATGGCAGCTCTGAGGAGGCAGCTCCATCTGATGCTGAGGCCAGGGCTGGCCAGGGGTTCACATAAGCCTGTCCTCCACCCTGTGACTGTCCCTCAGCTGCTGTCCACTGGAGCTATACGGTTCTGGGGGTACTTCCCCCACCCCCCAATGCTCCTGGAGTGCCCAGCCCAGCCAACACCTGCTGGTCCTACAGCCCTGGATGGAGGATGGGGAGGGTTCCTGGATGGGGGCCCTGGAGCAGGGGCTCTGCCTGGTGCCCAACCACACACGCCGTGTTGGTGTTGCCCGCAGCCTGTGGTGCTTTGCAGGGGCAGGGGCCATCTGTGATCATTTGCCAGTCATGGAGGACTCAGGGCCAGCAGGTATAACCCTACTGCCCCATCTTTAAAGTGGGAAAGAAATGCCAAGAGGCTCAAATGGCTAATCCCCCTTACAAGCACCAGCATTCCATTGGCATGCTGGTTCCTGTCCTGGCTGCTCCACTTCCCATCCAGCTCCCTGCCTGTGGCCTGGCAAAGCAGTGGAGGACGGCCCAAAGCCTTGGGACCCTGCACCGGAAGCTCCTGGCTCCTGACTTCGGATTGACTCAGCTCTGGACATGGCAGCCATCTGGGAAGTGAACCGGCCAACCAAATGTCATTCTTTCTGCCTCTCCTTCTCTCTATAAGTCTGCCTTTCCATTAAAAATAATTTTTTTTAAAAAAAGAAAGAAAAAGGGCCCGGCGCGGTGGCGCAGTGGTTAACGTCCTCGCCTTGCACGCCCGGGATCCCATATGGGCACCGGTTCTAATCCCGGCAGCCCTGCTTCCCTTCCAGCTCCCTGCCTGTGGCCTGGGAAAGCAGTCGAGGACAGCCCAAAGCTTTGGGACCCTGCACCCGCGTGGGAGACCCGGAAGAGGCTCCTGGCTTCGGATCGGCATAGCATCGGCCGTTGCGCTCACTTGGGGAGTGAATCATCGGATGGAAGATCTTCCTCTCTGTCTCTCCTCTCTGTATATCTGCCTTTCCAATAAATTAATAATAAAAATAAATCTTAAAAAAAAAATTTTAAAAAAAAGAAAGAAAAAGAGAGAGCGAGTTGTGTTGCCCTCAGAGTCGATCAGGCTTCAGCCGGTAGCTGGGACTCTGGAGGAGAAAGGAGGCTGGGGGCAGGGCTGGGCCTGGGAACGCCTGGTTCTCCACAGCGGGGCAGGCACAGAGGCCAGCCTGCACCTGCAGAGGCTGCAGGCGCCCGCATGGCAGTTCCCGGCTCCCTGCAGGGGGGCTGGGTTCTCTCCCCTCTCAGCGGTGGGGAAGAAAGAGATCTTCCATCCATTGGTTCACTCAAATGCTTGCAACCGGGCTGGAGCCAGGAGCCAGGAGCTGTGGGTCTGCCCCAGGGGGCAGGGGCCTCACCTGCATGCCTCCCAGCTACGCATGAGCAGGGAGCTGGCTGGGAAGTGGAGCAGCCAGGGTGCCCCCCCCCTCCTCCTGGGGGATGCCCTGCTAACCGCTGCCCAGGAGCTTCCCACTTCACAGAGCAAGAGGCCAGCGGTTGGCAGGCGGCTGGGGCCCGGAGGAGGGGCCGTGCATCAGGGATGGGAGGAGAGCCGTGCGGTCAGCCCCAGGCCGGGCTTCCCCTGGGGCCTGCAGCAGCACTGACCTTCGCGCAGCCCTCCTGCGGGGGTGCTGGGGCTGGACTTGAAGGTGTCTGGGGGAGGTCTGGGGGCCCGAGGGGCAGGGGAGGCGCCGGCGCCGGCTGATTGCCGGCAGAAAACTAGCTCTGAAAATGGTAGCAGCTCGGAGGCGGGGGCGGGAGCCCGGAGCCAGGCCCCGCATGGCGGCCGCGGCAGGCTCTGTCCAGCGGTGGGGGCGGGGCCGGAGTCAGGGCCAGGGCTCAAGGTCGGGCCTGGGAGGACTGGCGTGTGCAGCCGCAGCCTTCCCACCCCCCACCCCACTCCTGTCAGATTGCGCAAAGCCATCCATGTTCACACGTGCTCCAGGGTCTGTGTCCTGGGTGGGCGGGGGCGTGTGCTGTGTGCACACAATGGCGTCGCCAGCCAAGCGGCCTGGGGTGGACACCCTGCTCCTCCCGCTACTCCCCTCCCAGCCCCGCCAGGGCTGCATCAGATCCGTGTGCGTGTGTGCACGTGTGCGTGTGCACATGTGCTAGGGGGCAGAAACTGAATTTGGAATGCAAGATCCATTGCACAGACACCTGGCTCAGGCGCCAACCTGGAGCAGGTGGCACAAGCCCCACACCCAGGTCTCGGGGGGTGGGGTCGGCTCTCCTCTCCCTCCTCCCCCCACCCCGCACAGACCCCCAAGGCCCTGGACTCACCTGCACTCACCTGCCCCGCTCATGCCGCCCTCAGACCCCCACGATCACACGGGCTGTGCCCACGGACCTGTGCCATCTCCTGCACGTGGTGCCTTGCCACCCTCGGACCCCCTCTGGCCATCCGGTCCTTGCGGAGACCTCCGGGTGTCCCTCACACACCCCCTGGCCGCTCCGCCCGGCCCCGCCCGGCCCAGCCCTGCCCTGCCCCGCACACTCACCACGCTCTCGCACGAAGTAGGCCAGGTAGAGATCAAGCTCCTTGACGGCCACGCCGATGTGGTGGGGCTGCACGCAGAGCACGGGGTGGCCGCACTGCGCCGCCTTCACCAGGCGCTCGCCGTCTGTGCTCTCGAGCGGGATGCCCTTGAACAGGATGACCATGACCAGGTCCAGCCGCCACACCTTGTCGGCCTGGCGCAGGCAGTCGATGCGACGCATCTTGCCCTTCTGGTCAGGGTTGGAGAGCACGCAGCCCGGCGGCTTCTTGCCCGTGATGGCCAGCACGAAGTCCTCACGGCACTCGGGCCGGATGTCCTTGCGCAGCTTGGCCAACAGCCGGGATGCCCACTTCTGCTTGACCTCGGGCTTCTCGCCCAGCAGCTCGTCCTTCACCGCCCGTTCCTCATCCTTGGACATCCGTTTCTCGTGCTTCTTGAAGTACTTGCGCTTGCGCGCCTGCAGGTTGAACCAGGTGTAGGCGAAGGCGCGGACGTGCGGCAGCAGCGCCTCGATGAACGGGTGGAACTCATCCTAGGAGGACACAGAGACAGCGGGGCTCAGCGGGTGCCACCCCGTCCCCCAATGCCCGTGCAATGCCCGTGCCGGGCGCAGCCAGAGTCAGGAGCCACCGGCTGCTCCCCGGCATTGCCGTTAAGGGTTGCAGCTGACCTTAAACCCCTGGACTGGTGGTCCTGCATCTCCAGCGCGGAGCAGACTGCTGCAGAGGAGGACCCATTCTGCAGATGGGCAACCCCGAGTCCAGGGACCCGAGAGACCAAGGCCAGCGGACACGCGTAGGAAAGGACCACATGACCATGTGGTGGATCCCAATAAAATTTTATTGGCAGACAAAAGTATCAGGCGTCCAGGCCTGTGATATGCAAGTCTCCCTCCCCCTCCTCAGGGCAGGGCCAGGTATACAGTGGTGCTCAATATACACAGGAGAAAGCAGCCAGCTCTGTGTGCGAATGAAGAGTGAGAACAAGGGACTGCCCCAAGAGCTCCGCAGTCCAGGCAGAGAGGCTGGGGGGCGGGGGGGACGGCGGGAAGAGTGGGCGGTTCCACAGAGGGGCGGCCCACGCGCCCATCCTGCTGGCAACAACACTGAGACCAGGAGAAACGGGTGTAGCTGGCAGGGCTGGATTGGGGGGCAGGAGGAAGCTCCAACATGCGTGGGTCCCCCTGAGCTGCGGGTCCTCGTCTCCCCACATGCATCACTTCTGTGAGTGCTGCTGCTGGGGTCACCCCATCTTCCCAGCGGGTGGCACCCCCATTGGATGAGGTCTCCCCTACCAACCATCTTCGGCGGCTGTCGCCCCTTTCGCTTGATCTTAGCCAAAAGGCGGAGAAGTAATGTCACCCCCTTTGTCAGAGTAGCTGTGAGCAGATCCCCGATTTGCTTTTGGGGCCAGGGGTCAGTGCCCAACCCCTACATCACCCAGGCCTGGACACTCAGGGCACCTAACCTGCTCCAGCCCTTCTGGGCTCTGTCCACCCTGCCTGGAGCCACCTCCCAGCCGTGCCCGTGCAGCCTGACCCTGGAGATCTGGAAATAGCCCTGGGGCCTGCTGAGGCCAGGGTGGGGCGGGCAGGGCTCGGCAAGCACCCCCCTAGGCCACTGTCCCCAGCGTGCGTCACCAAGACAGCTGCCACCTCCAGGGTACCACCCAACCCAGGCCCCTGCCCCCACCTGGTCACTCGGACCCATGGTGGGTGGAGTTTGGGTTCAGGGTCCAGTGGGACGATTGGGAAGGGGCTAAAGCCCAGCCCCCAGCTATGTGCTTCCTGGGACTGTGGGGGGAGGGGTAACCATCCCCTCCTCCCCTTCCCGCTCTCGGCCCCGCCCCCTGTGCCCTCTTGGGGCAGGTCCCGGGGAGGCGGCCCTCCTCATCGCTGACCACTGACCCCGGGGGTCCTGACCACGAACAGCCTGCAGCCAGGCCCCATGCCCACCTGGGCCCTCAAGAGCTGATAACCAAGGCTGGCGGACATTGCCATCTTCTCACACTCCTGCATGCCCCACCGGACCCCTTCCCCGGGGTCCTCCTGGCCTGGCATAGAGCCTCAGCTCTGGGGATGGGCCCCCCAGTCACTCCTAGCCCCTGCTCCCTTCATGGTGCCTGCAGAGCACGCGGCTGGCCAGTGGGGGGCTCCCCCTCCACCCCAGACCTCTTGGGTGCACATGAAGCCCAGTCCTCCCCCTCAAATTCTCATTTACTCCTGGAGGACAGAGTCCACATTCACTCAGATTCACTCAGACATATGACAGGTCAGGGAATGTGGGAGACCCTAACTGGGTGCCCCCCCCAAGACTCATGTGTCCCCTGGTGGGCCAGTCAGGTTCAAGGTGTCCACTCCAAGCCATATGGCCAGGAGGGAGCTGAGCTGGCTCCCTGCACCCTGATGGCCCCTGAGGCCGCCCATCCCCTCCTCAGGCTCCCCCAGGTGAGGGAATAAAGGTGTCAAGAGAACTAGAAACCCAGCTCATGCTTCCATGCAACAGGTTCAGCAACAGCCACACCAGAGCATTTATTTGGCGCCAGGGATTGTACTGGGGGTAAGACAGGGCGGGCACAGTGAAGTCCCCAGGGCAGGAGGGAGGGACAACCCAGGGTTCCCCTTTGTCAATCACCAAACTGCCCCCCACAGTGATTATTAAGCACCCACTGTATACCAGGCCCAAGGAGGTGAGTCTGGCTCAGGGCAGCGGGTCTCCGACCTGGGGACCAGGTGAGGAAGCCCTCACCTGCGGCGATGGGGGGGTAGGAGGCTCTGGCAGCATTTCCAGTCCAGACAGGGAGGGAGGGAGGGAGGGAGGGAGGGAGGGAGATGGAGAAAGGAGCAGAGCGGGAGAGAACGCTGACTGGGCCAGAATCGCACATGGTGATTTACCGGGCGCCTGGCCCTACTAGAAGGCACTGTGGTGCAGTGTGGGGGGCGGGGATGGACATACCCGGGCCAGGGGGACACCACGCTCCAAGGGGAGCAACACCCAAGGCCACGGGAGGGGGCCCTGCGCACCCCGGGGCACCCCAGCCTCTCCCCGCAGCCGCTGGAGGACAGGCCGCCTGTCCGTCCAGGTGCGCTGGCCGGCCGAGGAATGCGGGAGGAGGGGCCGGGAGGCAGGCGCCGCCGAGGTGGCCCAGGCCCGGGGAGTCCTGCCTGCCGCAGCCAAGATGGATTTGGCCCCAAACCCGGAATAAGTAACGTGGCAGTGACGAGGACGGCCAGGGCGGGGCGGGGCGCTTCCCGCGGCAGGATTTATGGGGGCTCAAGCGCCCTGCACGGCTCCTCTTGGAAGGAAAAGTGAAAACCCCCAGGGGATGGGGGGTCCCAGGATCCTCCGGGGCCAGTGCCCGGCTTGGGGGGGAGGGGAGGGGTGGCACAGGGCGGGCTGGCACGGGAGGTGCAGGCGGATCAGCCAAAAGGAGCTATTTTAGGTTGCGCTCAGGTTGTAAAATTAGCCAGCCAAGGAGGGGGAGACAGAGAAGGAGAGACAGAGAAGGGAGAGACAGGGAGAGCCCAGAGCAGGGGGCAGAGGCCAAGGTGAAGGGACAGGCCCTTTCAGCCAGCTGCAGGCCCATGACAGGCTGCGGTGGGGGCGGGGACCCCCCTGCCCTATGCCCACCCTGGCCCAGGCGCGCAGGCGCGCTATCTCTCTCTCTCTCCTCCTTCCTCTCTCCCTCTCGCTCACTCGCACATGGCCACGCTGGACGGCTGTGACTCCTCCAGTTGCTACCTTTCCAACACCCACCATGAGCCCCTCTAGCTCCCAGGGTGACCGAGGCGCAGCCCCCCCGACCTAACCCATCGCCCGCTGGCGCCCAGGACCCAGGCCTTCCGACCTGGCGGCCCTGCTGGCCGGGGGGAATTCCAGCGCCAAAGGCGGCCTTCCCGATGAGGCTGGGGCGCAGGGGGCGGGCGCAGCGGAAGCCACCCAGGAGGCCCAGAGAGCCCACCAGGCCTGTCCGAGGTCACACAGCAGCCCCACCCCCAGTCCAGTGGGTCCGCCGGGAGGAGGCCCGCGCAGGGACAGGGGCTTGTCCAAGGTCACCCACGGGGGTGGGGGTGGGGGTGGTTGGGCCTCAGGCCTGTGGGAGGGGCTGCAGGAAGGCCACAGACCCCTGCCTCCCTCACCGCCCCCACCCCCAGCACCTGTGGAAGCCCCTCACATTCCTGCATGGGACCCCCTCCCCTCACAGTGGCCCAAGGACGCTCAGCAAGATCCAGATCCAGGGACAGGGCCTGCTACAGGGGTGGGGTGGGGTGAGAGATGGCGCCCCCTCCCCAGGCCATCCCCTCCCCCTGCCTGTGCCTAGGCCGTCGACGGTTGCACAAGGCTCAGTCCCAGGGCGGTCTGGGAGTGCGGCCAGGGGTGAGAGGCTGCGGGTTGGGGGCAGGGGCAGGTGTGCGGGGCGCAGGGAGCGGACAGGGCGGCCGGCCGCAGCGCCGCAGTGGCAAGGCCCCGAGCCGGACCCGCGCGCGCGCCCGCGGCCTCCGGCTCCTCCCCGCCCCGCAGCAGCGGCCACTCAGTCATCCACAATCGATGCGGCGGAGAAAAAAAGAAATGGGGGCTGGGGGGAGGGGGACATCGACGGGACCTCCCGGCGCCCACATACCCCCCTCGCCCCTCGCCCCTCGCCCCGGCCTCCAACTTCGCAGGCGCCCCCCTCCCCGCCCCGACGCACACGTGGGCCAGGGGTGGGGGGAGAGCGAGCAGCGGGCCTCGCGCTGCGGTGGGGGGGGGACACCACGCGGGGTCCCCGTTTATAGGGAGCTGGGGGGAGAGGGGTGAGCAGTGTTCAGCCAGAAACCTCTGCCTAGGGTGGGGTGCTTGGGGGACCAGGTCCAGGGTGCTGTCCTGCACCTGGCCCGGGTGGGGAGGGGGCAGAAGCGGCTAGCCAGAGCTCCAGGTCCGGGCTGGGAAGGCAGCCCCGGGGTGTGCGGGGTGTGCGGGTGGTGGATGGGACAGTCGAGGGGGGCTATGCGGAAATCTCTGGCGATCGTGGGGCCCACGGAGTGTCCAGCCCATCCCCCACCCGCCCCAGCCACGGGCTGGCTGCAGGCAAGAGGTGTCCTGGCTCCTTCCACCCAGAGTAGCCCGAGGGACGCGAGTGTCTTCTCCCCCACCCCCGCCTCGACACACGGCAGCACCCGGTCCCGCCTCTTGGGGTTTCAGTACCCCGGGGCCCCGGGGTGCTTGGGTGCGCGGGCCATACCTGGGTCAGGCAGAGCGGGGACGAATACATCCCGGGCGGGCGCGGCGGGAGGCGCAGGCGGCCGGAGCGGGCGGCGCGCGCGGGACTCACTGAGTCATTTTCCCGCCCCCCCTCCCGCCCCTCCCTCCTCTCTCCAGCGCCCGCCTCTCCCCCCCCTCCTGCCCCCTCTCTCCTCCGCCCGCTGGCAGCCTCTCCCCAATTTCTCTCCCCTCCTACCTCTCCGCATCCAACTTTCAAAGAAAGGAGGGAAAAAAAAAAAGCGCGAACGAGGCAACCGCGCGCCCCCCACCCTCCAGCACCCCGATCCCCGACGCGACCCCAGGTTCCTCGGAGACCTTGCCTCCCCCCTCAACCACCGCACACACATATACACTGGGGCAAACGGGCTGGGGGTGTCGCTGGATGGTTTTGGGGACCTGGGACAGATGGTCCCCCACCCCCCCCCATCTTGGAGCTGGCCTGGATGTGGCAGGACCCGAGCCAGGGGGGGCGGAGGGACAGAACGAAGTGACGTGCGCAGAGGCCGCCGGCGACTTTCCCCTTAAAGACGCACGACCCGGGCGGGCGGCAGGGCTCAGCGACCCTCGTACCCTCCCCGGCCCGGGGCCCCACGGAGCCCCCGAGCCCAAAATCACCACATCTCCGGGGCCGCCCACCTCTCCCTCGGCCAGGAGGAGTCCCAGAGGCTCCCTGGGGCCCTGCATTCCTGGGGGGAGGGTGGGGAGGCGTGGCCTCTACCACTTGGTGACCCCCAGCACCCCAAGAGGGTAGCTTCAGGAAGATGGGACCCCTGACTCCACAGAGGGGTCCTTCCCAGGAAGGAGGTGTCTGTGCCCATTGCACAGAGCCAGAAACTTGAGGTACCAGGCCACAGGCTCCCCAGGAACAAGCCCCCGCCTCTCCACCCCCCAGAGCTTGCTTGCTCCCCCTCCGCCTCCAGGCTCCCGCCCCCACCCCCGCGGTCACTGCCACCTCCGGCCTGCCTCTCTCCCACTGGCGGCCAGACCTGTAACTCCTGCTAAATCCGCAGTGGACCCTCTGGCCTGGGGGCGCAGCGGCCCCGACCTTCCCCTGCCACAGCCCGCAGGACACAGGCCACTCCCTCGGGGGCCAGCTCTGCCACGTGTAAATGTCCTACCCTTGCAGGGCCTGGGTTCGAGGGCCCAGTTCCCTGCTAACCTACACACCCTGGGAGGCAGCAGGGGGTGCAGCCTTAGTCCCTGGGTTCCTGCCACTCACATGGGAGACTTGGGGGACAATTCCCATCGCTCAGCTTTAGCCCGGCCCGGCCCGAAATGTCGGCTTGTGCGGACTGAACCAGTGCGCAGGGGTGCGCGCTCTTTCTCCCCGCCTGGCGAGCTAATAATAAATAAATAAATGTGCAGGGGAAAAAAAAAAAACACTTTGCAACTGCAGGGGGGCAACATCGAAAGCGGCGCGCTGGTGTGTGTTTTGGGATGCGGGTGCTAACATCACACTCCTAACACGCTAAGAGAACATGCGACGGACACGCGTGTGAACGCCGAGAACTCACAGCAGTGCGCGCAGGGCACGCCCGCCGCGTTTCCGCGCCAGCCCAGGGGGACGGGGGGCCGCAGGCCGTCGCCCCCTTCGCGTCTTCTTTCCTCCATTTACTGTTCTGCGAAATAGGGGCAGCCCTTTCCCCTAGGCAGCGGTAGCATCGCTGGTTGTGCACCTGCGTGTGGGGGGACTGGAAGGGGAACACGGGGTCTACACGGGGTGCACGTGCTCAACGCTTGACAAAGGTGACCCAGCCGGGCTTTTCTGTGGTTTGTCCAGGACACAGGATCGCCGAGGTGCCGCCTTCCAGCCGGCGACACGCTACATACGGACCGCTCAGAACAAGTAGCGGCCGCACGCGGTATCTTCCCAGCGCGGCCGCGGGACCGCGGAGAGCAGCGCAAACACCCTTCCAAAAGGGGCCCAGACTGCGCCAAAGGACAGCGATTCCCAACGCCGGACACACAGCGAGAGCTCCCGCGGTAGCCACCAGGGCCGCGCCCTCCTCTCCAGACACCCCCGCTTTTCCGTGTCCACCCTCTTCGGCGGCGAACATGGTAGTGGGCAACTACACATGTCCCCGGACACGGCCCAGACCCCTCGGAGAAGCACACGGGGTGGAAATGTACCGTACGACCCCGGGAGGGCAAAGCGAGGGTCCCGCTTTGAGAGCGTGCACCTGTAAACCTTCGGCAAACGCGGCGCACCTTGTAGCGGAACGCGCGCCTGCATCCCGTGTAACAGGTGCCCGAGTCCCTCCTCCGGCCACCGAGCGGCTGCAGCCGACTCCACCCACACGCATGCGCGCGCCGGGCGCTCTGCCGGAGCGCTACCCCGGCTGGCGCTGCCGTGCGCATGCGGGCTGCTCCGAGGGTGCGCGCCAGGCGCTGTATCTTTTCCCAGGAATATTGGTGTACCCGGTTCGGGCGAGTAGCGCCATCGGAGACCGTTTCCACCACGGATCGGTTCTATGATATCGTGTTTAATAACTTGTACAAAGTGAGTACACGGCGTGGTGGAGGGTGCGACAGTACATGGAACACGGGAGGGAGCAACTTCATGGGACAGGCCACCTCTCCCGGGACCCCGGCGCGCCACCGCTCGTGTTACCGGTGGGAAACCCCGACCCAGTCCAGGATCTTCGGGCAGGAAGGGACTCAGGCCGAGCCGTACAGCACAGACCGCCCCCCACAACGCACACGAACACACACGCAGACACGCGACTGGCTCGCATCCAGCCTCCCATTGCCCCCTTCCTCTGCCCCACCATCGTCCCTAAGGAATTCTGTGGGAACGCCACCCAGGCGCACATACAAGTTGCGGAACGCACCGCGGGGATCGCACACCGAACAAGACCCTCTACCCCTCCCGTCCCCCTACAAGCTCCCCTGGCTCATGGCTCGGCAGATCGTTACCGGCAGCAAAGGGGAGCAGCACCATGTAGGTCTTCCCTCCCTCCCTCTCTCTCTCTCACACGCACACAGACGCGCGCACGTGCAGGCGCGGGTCAGCCCGTGCGCACCTGCGTGTGCACCTGTGTGACAGAATTCACACGCGGGCCGGAGGGTGTGTCCTGGGCTTAGGAGCGTGGTCAAGCCCGGCCCGCTCCCAGGTTGAGACATGGCAGGCAGTGGCCAGCAGGGTGAGGGACCCCCAGCGCGAGGAAGGGCTGGGCCGGACCCTGCAGTGTGCGATACCCTGAGGGTCTACCCCTCCTAGGGATCTCCCTGCCCCCATCGCACGGCTAAGTGCAAACCTAGGATTGGAGAGGGAGGCGGTGTTCCAGCTTGGTCTCAGAGCTTAGCTGTTTAGGAAATTATGTAAAACTCATATGGGGGGGCAGGGCGCGGCGGGGATTCCCCTGGAAGAACCGCGCCAGGGCGCGTTTAGGGTGTCCCCGGTGCCAAGGGGCAATAACAGAGGGTACCCTCACCTGCCCGATGCATCCCACCAGGCCCCTGAGCTCCATAGCCAGTACCCCCCAGTCCTGTAGCCTTCTTGGGGCAAAGGGGGGGTGGACCGGTGCCCCGCCCCCTCCGGAGCAGGTTCCCGCGCACGCGCAGCCCTTGGCAAGCAGGCGACATCGCGGCTGCTCAGGGCTCCCGGCCCGGCGCCACCTCGCACCCGTGCCCAAGCCGGGCACCACTTCGGGCCATGGGGCTGGGGGAGGCCAGGGAGGGTGTGCCTTCAGGGGCAGGCGGAGGAGGAGTTCAGCGTCACCACGCTGGAGGCAGGGCCACAGCTGGCCCCCACTACTTATAGGAAAACGGGAACTAGGGAAGAGGCAAGGGTGAGGCAAGGCGCGAGGACCCATCCCAGGGCACAGGACCCTCTGGCCAGGCACGCACCCTCAGCTGTTCCCCTGGGACGCAGCCCCTCTCCCTCTCAACAGACTCACAGGGCGACAACCCAGTCACCCGGGGACACAGGGCCTCGATGCCCCATGGCCACACAAAGCTCACACACACAACACGCAGCACGTGTGTGGAAACACGCGGAACATAAAGGAGCGCCCCGGCGCGTGGGGAAGCTCATACTCATGCACAAGTAGTGCGCGGCCGGGACCACGGACCACGGCCGTTCCGGCGGGTGCCCAGACCGGGGGTCCAGGCACACACCTCCCCGACCCCTCCTGTATCCCGCCTGGAGCGGTGCAGCCCCCACAGCTGACAGGGAGGGGCAGAGACCCCGCGACCCTTGGCGGCTGGAACCCAGGGTGCGTCGCTGCCGCAGCCGCCGCGGGGCCCGGGTCGGTGGGGGGCGGGGCTCGGGCGCTCGCCAGGGCAGCCCCCTGCCCGGCTCCAAGTTCACGGCGCCCGGCGGCGGCCGCGCCGCGCTCTCCGCCCCTCGCCGCAGCGGCCATTTTCCGCTAGCTGGCGCGCCGGTCTCTGCCAGCCCCGGGCACCCGACCGGGGCCGCTACGACCCTCGCCCCCCACACGGCTCCTCCTGCTGCCCTCTCCTCGGCCAGGGGGACTCCCCCGCAAGCTGCGCGCTCAGTGGGGTTCTTGCACCCCGGGCCGCGCCCTCCCGCCTCAGGGCGGGCCGGGGGAGGGGGCGGGAGCCCCAGGCTGCAGGAGGGGGGGCTTCTCCTGGGAGTCCCGCCCTCCGCGCCAACTCCGCGGCGCCTGCAAGGAGCCCCCGACTTGGGGTACCCCCCTCAACGCTGCGCCCCGCCTCCCCCAACCCGGAGAGCGGCGGCGGGGGGGGGGGAGGAGGAGGAGTAGGTTGGCGATCAGCCGGTGGGGGTCCCGCGGCTACCGGCGGAACAGGGGCGTCCCGGGGTCCAGCCCTTCCTCCGAGCGGGCCCTGTGACCCCCCGCCCCAGGCCTCGCAACTTTCGCCCGGAGCCCACGCACCACCCCAAAAAAGTCCCCAGGCGAAAACGAAAGTGGGGGCGGCGACGTACCATGGCGCTGCTGCGAGGAGGCGAGGCCCGCGCCGGAGCGAGCGCGCTCGGTCCCCGGCGAGGGGGGGCCGGAGGCGGCGAGGGAGGGCGCGAGCGCGCGAGGGAGGGGGCGCGCCGCGCCCGCCCCCCCAGCCCGCGGGACCCTCCCCTCGACCCGCCCTCCCCC